CTGACGGTTATGGAAAAGCCCCTCTGACAAGCCGGCTGGGCTGCTTCCTGACTAGCCACTAGCACAACATGAACGCTAGCCAGAAAAGTTAGCAACAAATTAGCACGACGGGATGGGCTGCTCCTATGCCACTTCTCGGCCAATACAATTCCACTAAATACAACTTTTCTTACCTATAGTAGAGATAAACGTTGAGTTGAAGGCATCTTCTGAAAATCTGAATAGCACGCAGGTCTTTCCGACGCCTGAATCGCCGATTAAAAGTAGTTTAAACAAGTAATCGTAAGTCTTCGCCATGTTATTAGCTAGCTTACTACTGCGGATATCCCGCCCGGTGTGAAGACAGAGACGTCACTGCGGTGAGCTGCCGTGTGGTCAAATCAACTGCCACTCTTCTCTGTCGTCGTGGCTCCGGAAGTCTGATGCGTCCCCGCTGGGCGTGCTCGTTTTGACGTCTATGGTCACCCGGACTATGATTATTGTTAATTAATGGCAAAACGAATACGTTTTTAACAAGAGATAGGTGTTCTCTCTAGATATCAAGTAATTTTACGTGCGGTGTTATGAAGTCAACCGAAATGGGACGAAATATTTCTATTATTTATTATCAGTGACACTTGTCGTTGCACTCAGGCTAAAGTTAGTTTCATTTACTGAAAAGTATAAAAGTGTGTATTAAAAAACATTTATCACAGATATATAGACCCATGGTCGCATTAAGCCATTAACTTCCTGGGGAACACCAGGCAGAAAATTGTTGTTGGGTTTCACTGACTAAAACAGATTCATTAGTTTCATTCCCCCACAATAGTATAGTGGGGGAAAGAAAATCAGGGGTTCCAGCTTCTCAAATGTCAATATTTGGTAGTTACATAGTTTTATAAACTATCATGTGATCGTTTTAGACTGTTGGTCTGGAAAAAAAAATCTGAGATATTTTCACTTGGCCTTGAGAGAAATGACATACTAATTGTCAGATGTTTTGATCGTGAAAAAAATTCTATCCTATGATGGAACAAAACCACCTTGTAGGTTTTCTGTGAGCTCATTTTCTGTGATGCCTACTTGAAACACAGAAGAAATTAAGCAATTTCATAAAAAACATAGCTCATCCACAATTGAGTTCAATATAAATGTAAGCAGTTGAGATCCTAAAACAAAATGTATACACAGAGACCAGGGTCATGAGATGGAGAAAGGTGGATCTGTCATCACAGGTGATGGTCTAGAGACTGAGGATGGGCCAGACCCCATAGTCTACTTAAAAAACAGCTTTAGTTGAACAATTAGCTACTTATCTATTTATGTTTGTTTTTGACTCTTTTATGGAAGTATTTATAAAAGTAATTATTAAAGTGATATAATTATGTTCTCATCATGAGCAGTGCAGCTACTGCCATCTGTTGCGCCTCCCCTAACGAGAAAGACCCCGCCTTCTCGGTCAACTCTGTACTCGGTACTTGATAATCAACGTTCATTATCAGACCGACAACGAACTTGTGACTTTGTTAAGAGAGGCGCACTTCTTCATATTGAACTGTACTAAATTGTTCTTGCCTTGGACAAAAACGCTGAGAGATCTGAGCAAAATGCCTGTAAGTAAAAACTGTCATTTTGCTATATATTTTTTTTCTTCGGTTAGAAACGTTAGAACTTGTACATCAGGTCAAGTTGACAGAAAGCTGCTGGGATAGTGTGTTATTAATTGCTAAACATAACATTATGTAAACAGAATGGGAAAGATTTATTAGTCGGTTGATAAGTGGGGTGTATAGCATTACTGTATTTATATGTGTTAATAAATCATTGCCTGCATTCAGTACACAGGTATAGCTGTCTGTCAGGGAAGATGCCCGGGCTTGCCTGAACATGTCTGTGTACCTGCTCTGAATTGCAATTCATTCAACAGACTGTAGGGGGCATTAGGGTATAAGCAAAACAATTAAAATATATAATTGTTTCAATTGTTGTCATTTAATGAATAGGTAAAAAAAAATAAAGTTAATTGAACCCTTTCAACGACAAATGTTGAAATTGTGCTGTGCTCTCCAATGCAGTTGGCTAAGGATCTGATGCAGCCCAGCTTCACAGAGGAGAGGAGAAGACACAAGAAGAAGAGGCTGGTGCAGAGTCCCAACTCTTACTTCATGGACGTTAAATGCATTGGTAAGGACACATCTTGTTTCCTCCTTGATTTTCTAATGTACTTTTGGATCAATGATGCACTTTAAAGTGGTTTATTCACATTCATCTTTAAATACTCTCCAGGCTGCTACAGGGTCACCACCATCTTCAGCCATGCCCAGACTGTGATACCTTGTGGGGGCTGCTCTTTAATCCTCTGCCAACCACAAGGGGGGAAATGCAAACTAACTGCTGGTGAGAAAAGTGTATATATTGTTAATTTTCCCACCTATATAAATCAGTGAGTTTAGCTCACTTTTTTGTCTGATGAGATACTAAAATTTTTCCTTTTTTTTCAATCTAGGCTGCGCCTTCAGACGGAAATATTCCTGAGCAGAAATCAACCTGAACACCCATGAGAGACAGTAATATGAACCATGGATAAATGAGTCTGGGTCTCACACTCCATGATTAAGTGTGGCTGTTTGCACCCTCCAAAACATATTCTTAGCAGAGAGATCGTTTCCATCTGTAACTTGATAATGTGGAGTGAGATTGAATTCCCCCTGTGGGGTTAAATGGGAAAGAGCAGAGAAAAGGAGCTATGTGAGTATAAACATATGCTCAGATTTAATTGTATGTATGTCAGAAAGATATGATGAAGCACTTGTAAGATCTTGACGTTATCTTGTAAAGTGCCTTTAGATAATGTTTGTTGTGATTTGGCACTATACAAATGAATTGAATTGAACTTGATGTACTACCATTGACTAAGTGAAACATGTTTTAGTCATCAAAATGCACAAAAAGTCAAAGGAGTCATGATTTCTGTAAAACATTTATTAGATTGGCATAGAGGGGGTTGGTGAATGAAATATTTCAAAACAGCCTCGATCAAATGTGAGGCACTTTTCATGGCCCTGGCACCAGATGAAACCATGATGACCATCACAAACAAAAATAAAACATTTTAAGAATTTATTGTCTGTCTTATGTGTGTTCTTTGGTCTTGAGAGTTCCCCTGGCAAAAAAAGAAGTGGTGTAAATGAAACAAACCCCCCCTCCCCAAAAAAGAAAAAAAAAAAATCAAACAATACAACTTCTCACATACCTAACATTATTCTATTATATACAATAAGTATCCATGGTTGACAAAATTTAACTGAGCCTCCAGTGGTTTGGGGTTTAGCTCACTCATGTAATACAATATATTGTAAATCTAGTAAATATTGGCTACATTATGGCATATTGTTGGCAATGATGCAGATGGTGTTGATGATCAGGTTATGCTTAAGGAAAGGTACTACAGATTAGATATTTACCTCATGGCCTAGATACTGTACATGCGCAGCTCTAAGTTTCTGCACAGACACTCCCACACCACAAAGGGAGAAGAAGAAGAAGAATGATGCACTGTAAATATTCTGTGCATCTTCAACATGTCAGCTTCAGGATGATCAGGCAGAGGAGGCATTACTTTTAAATTAAATGTAAAGAAGCCTACTGTGACTGAGCAGCATGTGCCTTGACCTGTTTATTTATGAATGAAACCTTTCCATAAGGTCACCTGTCCATTTGACCATCTTGCTGTATAAAGACATATTTAGGACACTGCTGAGACACAAGAGCCGAATGTCCATTAACTTGTAGCCGCTTCAGGTGTTACAGCATGATCAGAAAAACAACCTTTGACTGACTTCATATCACCACTGGGTGGCACTTGAGAGCCACTACTAACGTAGACTGAGAGAAACCCAATACCATCTGTAGCCTATGTATTAATATAATCGGACTGAGGCTTAATGTATGTGCACAAAAAATGTAAAATTGAGCCGGTGTAAGTGGTTGAGTGACCAAATCTGTTTCTTTGGGTGTATTAATTGCCAGTTCTTTCTAAATGAGTGGTCAAAAATTATTTCTGCAATCACAGCCCGAGATTTAAAAAAAAAAAAAAGGGGATGGTTTCAGAACGACCTCGCATCTTAAAAAAAAAAAAAAAAAAAAAAAAAAAGTGTGCCTTAGAAAAAAAAAAAAAAAAAAAACATCAAGGGACAAGCATTAAGTTAATCCCCCTTTTATGTGGGGGAATAAAGATTTTACAGCTCGAAATGTGGAATGGAGTCGAACATTTAATGGAATGTTACATGACGATCTCATCCTCTCCAGTTTCCTCTCTGTGTGTTTATAAGCTGTTCAGTTCCTGCAGGGTCTGGTCCAGGACTTGGTGCATGCCCAAATTCTCCTCTTTGGCATGTGATAATTTCTCTGGAGACAGGAAGAAAAGTGACATGGTGAACCCTTGACCATCACAAACGTACTGTCATGCTAATTCATTCTGCTTCGTAGGTTTGTCAAACAGCATCCCTTGAAAAACTGTACAGAGCACTCTTATACTGGACAGATGTTTTGCATAACTACTTTGGTTAAGTTGTGCCACATGCAAAAAATTCAACCACACCACAGTGCCTTCCATGCATGAACTGCTGACTAAGGGACTGTTAGTAAAATACCGTGTATGGACTTCTTGGATGACCGTCGAGACATCCATTATATTAGATGCTACCATGTGTAAATGATGTTGATATCAGTACGTACTTTATGGACACACGTGGCTATATGATATCAGAAAATATCAAAAAGACGTTAGATTTTTTGAGGGGTCTAAGAGGATTGGAAACTGAATTAATTCACACCAAAACCAGAGTAAATCTCACCAGAAGAGCTCACCTTGTGCAACTGATAATCAGATGGACAATGTACAGTAACAACCAATTGTATAACATTGTACAAATATGGATTAAATGTTTCACTGTTCTAATTTACACCAAGATATATGCTAGTATAGATTATCAAGAACAGAGACATAAGCTGCAAAGTAAGAAAGAAAAAGATTTTTTAATTAATTTCTTTGCATAGTAAGCTGGACAGAAGGCACATGTAATTCACAGAGAGAAGACGATGAGTCCAAACATTCAGAGGACAGGAAAAGGGAAATGAGAGGCAGAGAGAAACAGAGACGTCAAAGCATCTACAGAGATGTCATGTCATTGAGGGCATGGTCCAGCTCCTCACTAATGGCCTTGTACTTCAGCTTCTGAGCATATAATTCATCTGGAGGTCAGAGGTCGACAGGAAGTACAGGCAGGTGTCAAGGACAGCAGCGACACAAACAAGCCAAAAGCAGCACGAGAATGAGAGACAGATGGAGGCAAAGAGCAGAGGGAGGAAGCAGAAGACAAAAAAAAAAAAATAGGTCAGGCTTTTTAAAGATGCAGAAATTGCTTGGAAGAAAGAATGATGCACATCTAATTATGCTTGCGGTTCTTTTGCTGGGTGAACTCTAAATGTCTCATAAAACTGCTCCAATAATTCCATAAACTCAGCTGCTTGTGGGCCAACAACTAAATAATGCAGACCTAAAAACTTCTGAGCGCATTCTGTCCTCTCTTCAACATGGCTGACATGGAGTAGTTGTCCTTCAGAAACAAGGGTCTTTTATTAGCTTGTCTTAGGTAAGGACTTTCCATAGGTTTGGCAGGGAACCCTTTCCTTTCTACAGACAATATTTCCAGTGATGCTGAAATAGGACACTCCTTCTGGGATCTATGTCAAGCTGAACCATATCATTGTGCATTTGTGCAATAAGATGTTGGCCCTATTATGATTAGTTAGGCTGTGGCCTACAGGAAACTATGCTAAACTCTCTGCTTCTGGTTCATCAACAATGAATCCTCCTAATTTATTGACACTGAATGTAACCTTGGGCCCAGATGACTGGCTTTAAACTGTTCTCAAAGACAAGCGATGCTGCTGACTGCCTTAATATCTGTCTCAATGTCAAGTTGTACATTTTGATGCAAAGTGGAGCAAATCCCCAACATTTTTTAATGTGAATAGTGTTAGTCTCGTACCTTCCAGGTCATCAATGGATTTTTCCAGTTTGGCCACTGTCCTCTCTGCAAACTCTGCACGGGTTTCAGCCTGACAGGAAAACAGACACAGGATGTAACACGGTACATAACAAGCTCCAACCAATGAATGCAACATGTGCGACTGATACAGCGTAGGTTTTCCAGAGGCTCTCCGTACTTTCCAAAGTAATCAAAAAAATGACATTTTACATTTAGGTTTTGAATTCATGGACATATTAAGCTGATAAAATGAATAATAAGCAGCTAAAATCATCCGTTTAATGACGAAAATGAACAATCTGATGTGTGTTACAAAAAGTGGACTTGACAGAAGTTGATTATTTTCTGGCATTTCTGCTGTAAAAATGTATACAGTAAACAAAGACAGGAAATGTAAGGATAGAGGATGAGATGGGAGATGACATGCAACAAAGGACCATGGCGAGGTTTGGCTTCAGTTATGTGTGGTATTGCTTATTTGTTTCACTCTAAAAACATACAATACATGCAGTACAAGCTTTCTTTATGAAATCTTTCCTGGGATCACTAGAACCAGGATCTCACCTCCTTCAGTTTGTCAGTCAGAACTTTGATCTCCTCCTCGTACTTGTCCTCTTTTTCTGAGTACTGTTGACAGAAACACAGATAAATAATGTTATCTAATTAGTGGCAGAAATATAAATACACACCCACACATGCTTCCACCTATCACATACTATCATCCAATAATTATAATTATAAGTGAGCTGCAGAGCCACTCCCTTTCAGGAATGATATGTAAAAAGGGAGGCTGGTGCACAAAAGCGGTGAGGTGTTGGCCTGGCCGGGGAACAAGTTGAGCAGTGATGCCAGCCATGGCAGGCCTGACTGAACAAAGCGAAGGCAGACTCGCTAAAGGGGAGCAGTCATGTGGTGAAGCCTGGCATGCTGTCATGTTGCCTCTCTGTGCCCGGGGAGGAATGTACTGCAGGTCTCTGCCGGCTGCTGCTTCACATATGCTAAAACACATTATGTGGCAATTAACTCCAAATATATATTAAAAAAAACAGCCTCAGTGGCTAATTTGTCATGTACTTTGCAAACATGTATTTAAACAGTGACGGAGGTCCAATCTTGCACTCTCGATACATTCAAGTTTTCATCTAAACAACCTGAGGAGAAAATAAAAGGTTAGGTTTGTAAGTACGGCCTGATGATACACAACTGTGATGAAGGTAGATTGAAACAATACTTTGGTGATGTGGTATCCCTCCACAGTCACTCAAATTACTGTCCACTGAGCCATGAGAACAGCCCAAATGATAGGCTACAGGGAAGCGGAAATGAGTACATGTTGGGTGCCAGACCTGGTGTTCAGAATATACTGTTGTATATATTTAGGTTGTTTGTGTGTGTTTGTGAGGAAGAATGAAAGCAGCCCCAGTGTTAGTAAGCTTTGTCTCAACAGTACAGTTTTACCACTGATGCATTGGCTTTTGGCAGGCTGAAATATTGTCGGAGTCGTGAATGCATCCTAACTTGGTAAACAAAAGGTTTTTCCTCATAATATGCGGCTAGCCTTCCACATGGACCTGAAATAACGTTTATCTTGCACATTACTGGATAGAAAATGAAAGTTTGCTAAAGTCCGCTGCATTTTCCTGTGTAGGAAAACTCCAGGAGGGAGGCCATAAAAGAAATGTTATATCTGACAATGTATTTGGGTTAGGAAATTCACATCATTCACATGACACTCTCACCTTCTCAGACTGGGCTTCTAAGGACTTAAGATTGTTGGTCACATTTTTCAGCTCCTCCTCAAGGTCACTGGCTTTACTGCGGAGATGAACATAGACATATGCTTGGTTTTAATGGAAGAGAAACGGGTGAGGACATGTGTATATCTGTGCGTATATGTATTTATGTATTCGGGTGTTCATTAGTTTTACCATTCTGAGAGCTCGGCCCTCTCCTCAGCTCTCTCCAGCTCTCCCTCCAGGATCACCAGCTTACGAGCCACCTGGGGCGAAAAACATTAAATCTTTAGGGGAAACATTTTTGGACTTTTTGGACTAAAAATGTGGAGTTCATCCTAATTTAGGGATGTGAGTTTTTTCTTGCTCACCTCCTCATATTTACGGTCAGCCTCCTCTGCGATGTGTTTGGCCTCCTTCAGCTGCATCTCCTGAATCTCCATCTTCTCCTCGTCCTTCATCGCTCGGTTCTCGATCACTTTCATCCCTCTGAATGAAAAAGACGCAGAGAAGGTCAGAGATCAATGATTCCAAACATATATACAAATAAGCTTTCAGATTATGTATTTTGTCAGAGACAGGCGATTGCAATAAATTAGGTAAAACATGATCTCACACATAGAAAATTGCAATAATCAAAATTCCAATCCACCCTACATGAAACGTGCAAAGTATATCAAGGTGGATAATGGTCTAATATGATTTATACTGACCTCTCGCTCTCATCTGCAGCCTTCTCAGCCTCCTCCAGTTTTTGCAGTGCCGTAGCCAGCCTCTCCTGGGCTCGGTCCAACTCCTCCTCCACCAGCTGGATCCTACGGTTCAGAGCTGCTACATCACCCTCCGCCTGGGCGAGAGAGAGAGAGAGAGAGAGAGAGAGAGAGAGAGAGAGAGAGAGAAAGGGGGAGGAGAGAGAATTTTAGTCATTCATTCATTCAACTTTAAATCATCCAAACTTATCTTCTCATCTCCTTGTTGCCCTCCTTAAAATAGGAAGAGGAGGAAAAGGCACAAAGAGGGTAGTGGGGGGAGTCCAAAGCCAGACAGAAAATATGAACTGAGGTACGGACAGCTGGATAGAGAAGATGAACAACAACCTGTAGACTTGTTTTAAATATCTGCAAACAGTTACCAGAAGATATAAACGGCCTTTTTGGAAAAGAGGCAGCTAAAAAACATTCAATGCGATCCCTCTACAGGACTCTACAGGAAGCCTGACTGCAAGTGAACTAAAATATATTCAATTCCATGCTCTCTCTGGGGTTGCTCATGTTTCACAAATCAATAGCTGAAACAGAGACAGCTGGAGGTCCTTGGAGGATCTTCTATAGAGGCAGAGCCTACCTGTAATAAACAGTCCCTGATGAAACTCAAGGACTAACTGCCGAGTCTGGCTGCAGAGTGTAATCCTTCTTAATGTCTGAAGATCGCAGGACTTCAGATTTCAATGAAATGCTTGCAAAAACTCAATTTCCGGGGGCTGTGAATGCAGAACTGGGGCAAGTAGGGAGGACAAATGGGGTTCTTCTCGTCTGCCCTTGGTAAACAAAGGCAGAGAGAGGAAAAAGAAAGCAAACAGACAACTATACAGGCATTTCCTCCCCGCTGGCCGGGGAGTTCATCCAACCACCACCTCCTAGGGAGCCGCATTCAAACTGAAAACCAGCCCAACTCTGTTTTCATACAAAGGTTACAACAAAGAGACTTAAGTTTACAACCAGAGAGCACTACATAACTGCACGTTTGAACAAAGTGTTGCATTACTGAACCATTCATTCAAACCCAGAGTACTCACGCAAGTTTACTCCCTATTCCTAAAATGAAGTGGCTGAGGATTTCTTCAAACAGACATTATTCTGTGCACAGTTGCGAGGCAGCCGTTAGTAGGTCAGTGACTCATTAGCTAGCCATTCGGTCCAGAAGTCAGATCAACAGTAAATTTACAGGTAGATGAGTCAATTTGCTAAATATTACAAAGTCAAAAAAACAGAAAGGACTGGCATCGAGGAGGAAATGTAACAGAGAAGCAGAGAGCTCAGAAAGCTCGTTGGAAAATAGTTATTTAGTCTGTTGGTGCTGAGAATAAATAGACCTCCATCCAGTCCACTCTTCCATTCTGTCATAAACTCAATATTTCAGGAAATGAAGGCATGGTTTCCTGCTTGTTGGTAGCTGGCACTGGCCTCGTTTTAATTTTCAACATTTTCTCTATGTCATCCCCCATGTCATCTTAGACTGCTGACTAGCCAGTCAGTGTTTCCACCTCTCCCCCCCCTCCCCCCTCCCTCGGTTCTTTTTCGCCCTCTCCCAGGTCCTGCCCCGCTGCACCCAGAGCTGCCAGGGGAGACCGCTGATATGAGACAGGAAATGTCTGTTGAGCTAGCATTGACGTGTCTGTCTTAAAACAACCAGCGCTTGACAGAGGAAAACCTGGCCCAACACGGAATGAATAAAATGTCATAAATCGGTCGAAACAGCTTGAAATCTCATCAGTGATGTCCTCTACACAGGTCTGCATCAGTCAACACCACATCTGGCTGGTGAGAAATGTTGGACAGAATTAAACTGGAGCCTGAAATAACAGATATAGTTACTTCCTGAGGCCTGAGTGAAGCAATGTGCTGTGAAGAATACCGTCCGCGCACAAACAAACATGCCATTCATGAGCTTTAGGTCAGCTACACTGGCACATCAGATGCTGTAATGCACTTCCAGACGCAGACACACAAACTCTGCAAACATGCAAACAGACACTCTCATTCTGTCAATCTCTGCCACACACACACACTCACATAATTACCAGTTAGCAACCAGCTAGTTTCCTGCCCAGTAAAATGTTTGTTGTTAAGCAACGCGCAAACACAAAAGCTAAAGACTGAGCTTATATACCACTATGGTGGTAGTATATCTACGCTCATAATCAAATGTGTGCAACCTGGTGCTTTATCTGGCATCAGATTTTCACAATCACGGGGGGGGGAATTCCCTTATCGACAGAGACAGCCTTGTGTCAAGTTAAAAAAAAAACTTGGGTGTGTACAGTACATACTCTCATGCCTCTAATTCACTGAGCCATGACTGAAGAAGACTAGAACTTTTCCTGTAAATCCTGAAGATACTGCTGAAAATACTTCCCCCTCAGCAGCTTCAGAAAATCATTTCACCAATGCTAAAAGGATAGAAATGCTGTTTGAAAAGTATTCTGAGCTCTTGCACCAGAAAATAATTAACAGAACTGTAATGTTAAGGTAAAAGCCACAAGGAATGAGAATTACTAAGTCGAGTGACTTTACAACAAGAATAGATAATAGCGTGACTTTAGAAATGAGGATCTTGAAAAAGGTGACAGGAAGTCAGCAGCCTAACATCCTTTCATTTCCTCCCTTTGATTGTTCTTTCTTTCAGAGTCGGTATTCTCTCTCTGTCTCTCTGGCCATGCCCCTTCCTTTAGCACCCACTTTGCATTCCCCAGCTGCCAGGGACGTGCACCGCCTTATATGGTAAAACAAACTATGGAGAAGGTTTGTGTTGGAGTATCAGTGAGATTGTGGCAGCGAGCACACATCCACACAGACACATATGAGTAAAAGATACTGGAGCTGCTCTGTTATCAAGCTGGTTTAATATGTAACACCAGAGCTTTCTAAGAGGTGAATGGTATTCCAATAATTGATGGCTACTTAACAGTTCCCCTAGACCAGTTAGTGCCTTGCTAAAGGGCATTTAGCCACAATGGCAATAAGATTGCTAAAGGGATAGTTAGATGAGACTCAGACCGCTCTCATGGCTGTGCCGTAAATATGAAGCTACAGCCAGCAGCTTGTTAGCTTATCTTAGCAAAAAGGCTGGAAACATGGTGAAACAGCAGCACCTCTAAGGCTCACTGATTAACATATGATGTCTTGCTTGTTTAATATGTGCAAAAATCAGTGTGTGTAAAAGTGTAAAATGGAAAAGGTGTGGTATAACCTAATATAAAATTTTTATTGTCACTTGTAGAAACCACACATTTTGTATGCATTAAACAATCTAGATTGTTAGATCTAATTAGGGAGCTTTAGAGGTCACTTTGGACAGATACATGCTAGCTGTTTCCCCTGTGTTTCCTGGCTTTATGCTAAGATAAGCTAACTGGCTGCTGGCTGTAGCTTCATATTTACTGTACAGACAAGAGGGTGTATATCAGTCTTCTCATCTAACTCTCAGCAGGAAAGCAAGTAAGTGTATTCCCAAAAATGTCGAGCTTTTCCTTTAACATGGGCCATTCTCAGCTGCATCAATAGGTGACACTACAATATGGTGGAATACAGGACTCACTCTAGCATGCTTTTTAACTGACCTCTCTGTCACTGCTGGACTATCTAATGTTCATTTGCCTCCACACAGTAAACAGTCTACAATGTGACTTGAAGATACAGCACAGCTCTACTGGGACTGACTTAAGAAATACCTGAGTGTATTACATGTATTAGAGACAAGATCAAGGACAAGTGAAAGAGGAATCTAATTACTGGCTGATTCCAGGGCAGTGGGCTAATGAGCTGCACAATGCTGTTGGGGTTCAGGGGAAGTTATTCCTGACACTGCTGCTCGCTACTCTCAATGTGAATGTGTGTCTGTGAGAGTGTATAATCTTTTCCCATATAGATCTGGCATGCAAAGACGCCTGCATACAGTATAAGCTAGCCTGTCATGAGGTATGATATGTAAAAGAAGGTCATTAAACTTCCAGACAAGCATCACAATGAGTTCTCTCTGTGCACAATGTAGTTCGTCTGCATTTTTCTACAGTATTCTGACTTTCACATCGATCTTGATCTTGTTTGAGGCTTTAGTTCGAGCACTGCCGTAGTAATACTGAAGTGTCTAACCCTGACAAGGAGTTGATTGAAACCGATTTGTCAAATGACAAATGATAGCAATCCACAAATTATGTCAGGAACTAAAATTTTCAGGATTCAGACAGTTCTTGGTTTTGTTGGAATAAACATGAATCTTAATGATATTTTTGGAAAACAGAAAAAGTGTTAAATTGTGTGGTCTCTGGACAAATAGAGGGCAGGAGATTTAACTACCCACAGGTCAAGTAAACATCCTCTCAATAAAAGTTTATACGGTTCTTTCAGGCTAAACGAATTCCATTTCCACTATCCGGTACTAGCACTGACTTGCTAACAGATGCAGAGATCCTAAAAGTGTCTCACTGAAGCTTGTATGCATCCATAAACAAATGTATTGGATTTGAAATGGTTTACACACTGCTCCATGCTATATGAAAGCTGCTCATTTCCACTCTCTAAATGCTCCTTAATGACGTTATAGCTAATTTAGCTGTGCTAGCACAGACTGTACAAATATATTCTACTCCTCGCTTGAGCTACAACCCGCAACCTTGGCCTGCATAATCAGCTAAGCCACAAGCCAGTAACATGGAAGTGTTCCCCAGAATGCCAACGACTGCCAAAAAGTATCCACATGTGGCAGTTATATCTGGAAAGTTGAGCTATTCTCAGGGAGACAGTCCAAAGAAAACAGTGACACCAGGAAGTAATTCTTTCCACCCAACTGTTCGACTGTTAGCGCAGAAAACTTTCAGGCCCACTAAGGACACAAATCAGCAAACAGATGATAACTTCAGTTGATTTTGACAACTTGGTAAGCGCTACTTATAAATTACTAACTGCAACTGCAACAGTTTTCAAGTATGTAGAAAACAACTTCATTGTGCCTTTCAGATTCAGTTTTGCATTAGAAGACTAACTTATAGGGAGCTGATGTGGAGATTTATGTTTTTTTTTTAGTTTTAGACTTTCACTTCACTACTTACTCGAATCACCATTAACTACTGTAGAAACACAAAGTCCGCCACACACTAATCTTCCTGTTGATCAGGGCAGGAGCTCAGGGACAGGAAGTGTTTGGAGTAGAAGCACAGGAAGTGCCGGACCAGAGTTGGCAGACGACATCCTGGGAGGGACAGTCTTCCCAAAGCTAATACCTCGGAGGAGGTTAGAGTCCCACTTCCCTTTTTAATCCACTTTTAGACATGGCTCGGTACAGCACAAACTGTTTTTCTGCATTCTATGTGGTAACACTAAATATCACCATGGAAACTATTATGTTTTCTGATGGCAACATGAACGTTTAAGCTTCTGATTCTGTGCCATTTTTCATCTTTTATTGCTGTTTTTAATAACTTGACTGTTTTTTTTTAATTAATCAAGTCTTCATTTAGTCTCAAATTATCATAATAATTGAAGCATGTTGATCACAGAATTAAAAGTATTATCTCAAATTTAAAAAGCAGCTAATTTGGTTCATCACACAGCTCTCAGGGCCGTGAATGAAGTACAAATGATCTTTGGCCTGACTCAGCGCTGAACCTTCAACCACCATACAATATAAGTGTGTGGCTGCTGTGAGTACTATGAAAACTGAACAGCTCATTGAGAATAATTACCGTAAATAAAACACATCTAAGCAGGTCAAACCAGTGTTTCAAGCCTATGTCATGTCTGTGTAATCTGACAGAGCCTTAAAGCATTATTGAGCGGTTGAGTAATGTCTCAAGAGGCATCTAAACCACATTAGAAATAACACAAAGTAATTACTTTTAGTTTTTAGTGAGAGATGTGGCCAACTGTTTTTTTTTTCTGTTACTTCCGCATTTTCAAACAATGATTCATTACCTTAACACACTCAGCGAGATTCCTGTTTTGATCTCCCCATGATCCTATGAAAGAGTTTTTGTGCCAAGGAATAACTCCAGGTTGGGCAAATTGTTCCCATATGGGAAAACAGCAACCCTGCCACACAAACGCACTGCTCTGTTTGACTTTGAGTGCACATGGAGTGAGATGTGTGACAGCTTAAACTGCTTTTACACGTTAAAGCTGACAGGGATGAAATGGAAGAGCTTAATGTAACATTTCCATTCTGCAGATGAAGGACAGTTTTAAACCATTATATTTTGCATTAACAAGCAGCACACACACACTTAATAAGTTAATAACACATACTAGTGTAATTGTACACAGCTATAAGGCCTTTATAAATGCTTATAGATGGAGTTGTCAACGACTTTAACTCCTCCTGTGCTCGATACAGGATACAGACATATAATGTCCTTTACAATGGCCTTATAACTCTGTATAACTACATTACAAACAATTTGGTATATACAGCTTATAATGATAAATGAGGGGAGTCAAAGTAAAGTGTTACCGTTTGTGAATTAATATATAAAAAACAGTGGTGTTGTCTGCTAAATCAATTGCTGAAATAATTTTTGACTACAAACTCATGTGAGTGTCACTACTTGTAACTCTTCAGCAGTTACTATACTCATGTCTGCCACCTTATAAGTGACAGGAAATGACACAGTAATCTCATTTACCATCTGAAAGTAATATGAGGTGTATAACTAACTGTCTCATTTACTGTTTCCACTTTAAGAGTCACTGTACTTCAAATGTCCCAGTCATTCAGTCACAAACAGATAACTATAACATCAAAGTTATAGAGCATAAATCTTTTAAAATAATGATTACTAATGTCACTGATGTCAATGTATGAGCTGACATCAGAATGATTACCCACAAGCTGAGCGAACGCCCAGTTGTCAAATTAAAAAGGTGCCCTGTTACCTAATAGGCAGTCTGTAACAAAAGGGGTTAGTCCTGCAGCAGGCCTGCTCCTTTCATCATCTCAGCTGCCATATCTTTACAGCCACACCTTCCCTCCCACGCTCCTTGAATCTCCCTACTTGTCCTGTCATTAACCAGCTCCTATGCAAAGGACATGGCACCTTATGCCATAAAGCAACATGTGAAACAAGTCAAGACTGTTACCTATCTCTGCTGCTCAGCATTTTTTTTCCAACAGTCTCAACCTTTTCTGTGTGTAAGGCTGTAAAACTCGGATGTGGGTAGTAGAGTCAAGAGACAGACAGGTGACCGAGCTGGGCGAGTGCTCAGAAGAAACAGATGAGTCACTTCCAACACTTCCATGCGTGTAGTTTGTGAAACCACACATTTGTGGAACTTCAGCAATGACTTGTGCTAATTACAGCCCCGGTTGTGCAACTTCTGCTGATACTATGTGCCGAAATGTAAACACATAATAGGGCTGCGGCTAATGGTTATTCATCCATTCATTATTGATTAATCCACTGATTACCAGTTTGATTTATAAGATGCCAGTATATAGCAAAAAAAAATGCCCATCACAAGTTCCCAGAGCCCACAGTGACGTCTTCATGTGTCTCGTTTTTTCAAACCAAAAGCCCAAGACCCGAAGATATTCAGCAAATTGTTGCCTATAAATTTTCTGTTGACCCACTAATCAATTCAGTGACTAATTGTTTCAGCTCTAGTTGAGTAGGGCACTTTTTTTTAGTGTACAGTCCTTTGAATCCCTAATAACAGAGTAGGCATACTTTTAGCTCTGCCCTCTATTTTCCTATCATCTGTGGAGGCACGGTGGCCTGGTGGTTAGACCTTCAAGCATGCAGCTGCTGCTGGCACACATCCACCCTGCTGAAGTGCCTGTGAGCAAGCCATTAAGAGTGTGAAAAGTGAATTTGACTGGATGATAGAAAATATTAATCCATTAATCTAAATGTCGGCAATTCTAAAAGCTGATAGATAGTTACAATTATAGCCTCATCAAAATGTAATAACATTATTTGTATTCATAAGAAGTAATTTGGTCATTTAGTCTAATAGTTAAATTCAATTTTGCACAATAGGTTCAATGCTGTCTACGTGGTCCACATTATTCACAGTAGTTTTACAGCGGCCTGTAACTCAGACAACACTGAGCATGCGCAAAGACCTGCAGGAATCCAAACTTTTTTTCATTAGAGACCAACGCCTTGCATTGTGGCACAATCACGCCCGCGAATGAATCAATGACATGAGCTACATAGACTTTTCACGGTGAATATGAAGATATGAAGACGTTAATGTCATTTAATGAGAAACAACAAGCTGAAAACGAGAAGGCGGTTATGACAGAGGGAAAGAGCCAAGAGAAAAAAAAGAAGAGAGGATTTGATTTGTCTCACTTTCTCTCGGAGCTCCCGTTCAATGTCCAGGTCTCTCTGTAGGACCTGAGCCCGTTCCTCTGCGTCGTCGGCCTGCTGCTGCAAACACTGAATCTTCCTCTTCACAGCATCCAGAGAGTTCATACTTGCCATTCTGGACTGTTTTGTAACTTAATTTAAGACTACACGTAGAAAAAATACACACACAGTTAAGACTACTTTGGGGTTGAGCAACAAAAACGTAGGCTGCTGCCTCCTGCTTGTTTGGTCAATTCAGAATAATGTTATGGTAAGAAAAACGACTGTGATCGTTGATTTAGAAAGAAAGTAAAATCGATGTCCGTCCGGGGCCAAAGTCTTTGGAATGTAAAGGATTCGTTCAAGTGCAACAAAAGTTATATAACCAGGAAGTAAGAGTGTCCAGGTGTTCTCCAATTGTTTCTTCTGGTCAGTAGGAATGTAAAGTTCATGAGCAGTGTGGAAAGTTGTCCCCAGGAATGTGGCAGTTTTGGTCCGGACGCTTTGAGTTTGAGGAGGAGGTTTGGTGAAGCTGCGCGGTGAGGAGAGCGGAGAGCGCCAGACTGTGGCGAGGGAGGAGGAGAGAGATGATCGGGACGATGAGGTCAGAGGGGGCGGGGCCATTGTGTGTGTGTGTGTGTGTGTGTGTGTGTGTGTGTGTGTGTGTGTGTGTGTGTGTGTGTGTGTAAAAGCTGATCCCTGTGACTGACGTGATCAGTGCTACGAGACTTGCAGGGAAAAAAGGAAGGCCAGGATGACTTATGCTCATTCATTGGAAAGGTGCAGTGTCAAAGTGTCCATCTTCAGTTTAAGTGTCCACCTTGCATGACAATATGACTATATTTTCTCCAACATTTCACTGAGACTGTTTCATGTTCCAAAACTTGGGGGCAGGACTTTCCAAGGGGTTGCAAAATAAATCTGACCTGTTGTGTGTTGCTGTAAGACAAGATTTGTTCTTTTTTAAAAAAAATATTTTTCCAAGCTAAATACTGGAGATATGTATTTCTTTATGACTCAAAATGGTCAAAAATAAAAGAAACTCATAAGGGAACTTCACTTCTTGGTTAAACCAACCAGTGGTTAACATGATAGTTGACATGATTATAAAGGGCACAGGCTAAAAAGTTTGAGAATCAGTGAGAAGTGTATATCGGTATCAGAGAACTTCAGTCAATTTGCAGTACAGAAATATCAAAGACTCATTTAGAAAGTGTACAGTGTACAGTGTCTCTCAGCTCATGCAGTATATTGGTCACTCTTCTTTAATCACCATATCTAAGGGAACCTCGACAAACATGTTTTTATGTAAACAAAATGACGATATAGTGATATCTGATTTTTTAAAATCTAAACTACCAATATTATGGCAACAAGAATGCAGCATCAGTCAGGCTACTCAAGTCCAGGAGTGAGACTCGAGTTCTGAAAATTAGGACTCAACTTGGACTTGAGCACCGATGACTCAGACTTGGACTCAGACTCGAGCAGTGACTGCATTTTGACTCGGAAGTTGGAGCCTCAGACTTTTTTTGTTTGTTTTCTGCTGTGTGCATGCTTTTAAGTGCATGTGTTTGGCTGTTGTCTCACGATAAACTCCCTTTGAAATGGTGACAGCTATGTCATTTGTGTTTAATGTAGACCTTTTTTATTTGTATGTCAGCTCTTTGACTTTGCCAGAGTGCAGCACTGGAGCCTGCCTTGGAACTTTACTCAAACACAACTTTGATGACACAGACTGACTCGGGATTTGGATTTGGACTTGGATTCAAACACATGGGGACTCGAGACTCGAGATATGATGCCTACATTCAGTGAAATGTTAAAAACCAATCGAGCTCTCTTATGGATCATTATACACATAAAAAGTTAGTTTTTCTGTCTGTGAGGGATGCTTTTATAAGTTTATTATTATTATTGTTATTATTATATTCATTATCTCCTAATGGGTAGAACAAATAATCCTTTTGAAAATTCTCCCGGTCAGTTTACTTCTGCTGTTATTGTTATTTCAAGCATTGTAATAATGCATATTTTAATGGAACTTGTTTTTTCAGGCCATTGTGTTGAGCGGTGAGATGTGAGTGACATTTGAACAGTGAATGAATGAAACGTTGTACATATCTCAGCATGCAGCAAACTAACCACATGGCCATAGAGTGAGACACTATGTCTATTTACCTCTTGGGAAACCTGCTGTAATGAATCTTTATGTGTGCAATATCTATCATAAATCTTAGTTTTTTTGAGGAACTGTGTCAGAGTTTGTCTTGGGGGAGTAAGCAAATAAACATCATCTATGCCTGCCCATAGATAATGTCCATTGTGTGTGTGTAAATCAGATTTATGCTCCATCTTTCATGTCTCTCTGCCAGCCCTGCCCGTGTTTACCCTCATTGTTTCCTATGATCGGCCCTGAGAGCAAACATGTTGGGTGGATGGGCGAGCAAAGCCAGGAGATCTCAGCTCAGCTCAGCTCAGGTTCAACTCAAATTCAGTCCGGCTGTTCATCTGTTGATTGAGTCTGTGATTTGCCCCTTGCACCGGAAAAGCTGGAAGCATTGATTTCATTAGACACAGGAGTGTGGGGCTTTCTGTTTGCCTTGGCTGCATTCCTCACATACCAGAGCGCCCCCCCCCCCCCCCCCCTCCCCCCCCACCCGCCCCCCCCGGCCCGCCTGCTCTCTGCTTTCCCTGCCCGGCCAGCCACCACAGTCCAGCTTTCCCCAGAAAACAGTAACTGTTGCTGTGGTGAAAGTTGTTATCAACACCTGCATTAAGACTGCATGGGGCCACTTTTATCCTTTATATCCTGTGTGCAAATATTGTGACCCACAGACAGACGCTTTGTCTGACTATTTGAGCTGGCAGTGAACTGTGATGACCTAAATATCAGCAATAGTCCATGTAGGGGCTGTTTTTTTTGTGAATCATAACTACTTGCTTGTTGGGGTCTTTGGCTCACTGTTCTGCTTTCCCAGCCCCCTCCAGGTTTCCAATCTCTGCTCTCTGTGTGAATTCAGTTGTGTAATGACTTGACTGCTGCCTCTAATAAGTGACATGTGGAGGGGAATTCATGGACGTGCATCAGAACAGGTCTACTGGCTGGAAATGTTGGTGTCAAAGCGAGGGACTGTAAATAGGTTGTAGTGAACGTCTATTCTTAACTAAACTTTTTCACATTGTCCAGCACACCCAGGAGTGGAAGCTGCACCCAGTCAGTCCCAAACCTCACAACTTCAACTACTGCTTTTTTCCAGGGGCCCACTTGACCCACTTTGCATGTGAGGTTTCTCAGAACTATTCTCAGAGTTTATTTAATCACAGTGTGAGGATAATCCAGCGTGTCTCAGCCTTCGACTCTGTGTCTGTATGTCAGACACTTCCCTTCTCTTTGTGTGTAGTACAACACTGCATTTCCCGGGGATATCCTCCACAAGACTCAAACAATACCACATCTTGGTGGAAGCTGAGAGAGTTTTTTTTTACCCTTTTTTTTTTTTATGATTCCTCTCTCTCTCTCTGCTTTCTTAGTAATCTCATTGGAATGACTTACTGGATTTTATCTAATGCTATTAAAGCTTAATTTCACTGATTAACTCTCTCTTTCTCTCTCTCTCGGCCACACGCACACAAACACATACACACACACATGAGTAATCACACACGGCTGTGCACACATGCTCAAATGCTAGACGAGCCACCACTGACAGATATACAATGCTGTGGTTTGCGGTGTTGCCAGCAATCTAAAATATGATCTTTTCTTCCCAGATTGCAGCTGATTAGTCTCAGAAGAACTGCCTTTTCTAATGTTCCGCTACATTTACTGAAATTAATTATATGTGTACACACAAATATTCTCACAAACTTGAGGATTAGTTTTTGTCTGATGTAGAGAAGATTGGTGGAAGAAAAGTAAAAGTAGTAATGCTGCAGTGTAAAAATAGTCTTATACAAGTAAAGGTCCTGAACTCCACAGAGTTTAAAGTTAAAGAGTCTGTTTTCAGGCTCACAGGAATGTGTGAAAAAGCCATTTGCTGCTCCAAACAGAGCAGGCCAAATCTGATACCCTGCTTCAAGTGATGTCACTTGAGTCAGCGTGAGTTGGGGCTGAGGACAACAAGGTCAGGAGTTACAAGGAGTCCATAACTTAAACACACGTGTATCTTCAACTGAGCTGTCAGCAGTCGAGTTGCATTGTGAGTAATTTTGGCAAGATGATATCCCTGGTTCAGCTGCACCGATTATGATTCTTTTTTTTCTTTTTTTTCAAACTGTCCATCGTGGATCTGACAACGTATTATGAGTGCAATGCGAAATCAGTGTAGAACTTAGAGTTAAAGTACAAAAGTATTGTAAACTAAATATACTTTAAGTATCAAAAGTAAAAGCACTGATTAGCCAGAAGAATGGCCCCTTTGAGTGTTACATTACTATACATTATATTATTGGATTATCATTACTGGTGCTGCTTAGTTTACTCTATAACATTGTGCATCTTTTTTGTGTAAAAAAAAAATCTACCAACTATTACTTTCAGATAAATGTAGTGGAGTAAAAAGTTCAAAATTTCCTTCTGAAATGTAGCAGGATAGTAGCATAAAATGAAAACACTCAAGTAAAGTACAAGTACCTCAAAATTGTACTACTGAAGTACAATATTAAAGTAAATGTACTTAGATTCCAACACTAGGCACCAGCATCTGTACGAGATGTAAAATGTAAAACTGTTAGAAGCGTCATACTGTGCATTTACATAAATATAAGACGTTACTGATCCTTTAGAGCTGATATGCTGATATATAAAAGATAAAACCCGAACTGGAATTTGGACTAAAAGCATGAAGACAGTGTAATTAACAGGGATGATAATGATGATGATGATGATGATGGTTACTGTTTATCCGTGTGCTCATCTTTCAGGAGTGGCTGCACAGGAATGTAACAGTCTCTGAAGTGCTCCAAACCATTCACAGTGGATCAAAGCAAACCCACAGCTGGTGCTGGCTTAGAAATTGTCCAGCTGTGGAATAATGGGCCCTAGTTTTCAGTAGTGCTATGGTAACGTGTGTGTGTGTGTGTGTTCGCCCAGTGTGTTGGGTGGTGTGTGTGATTGTGTGTGGTCGTGTGGTGTGTGTGTGATGTGTGTGTGTATGTGTGTGTGTGTCAAAGTTGGAAAAAGAAATATTAGTAATTAAACTACCAGAGCAGCAGCTTTCTCTGTTGTATCCAAACTCTCATTATTACAACTGACTGTACATTATTTATATGTTATGACAGTTTCATGTCACAATCTAGTCAAGTGAAGTGACACCCCCCCCACCCCCCCTAACCCCCACCCCCCCCAGCCCCGTGTGTGCATATGTACAGTACCAGTGCGTGACCCTTCACTCACGTCTGCAGCTTTCTTCTCAGACAGTTCCAGTTTCTCCTGAGCGTCTTTCAGGCCCTCAGAGAATTTGTCCAGTTCATCCTCCGTCTGCTTCATCTTCTTCTGGAGGTCCATCAGCT